GCCGGCGCCAGCGGGAGGAAAACAAAACCCTGGACTCTGATCCATGCCTGTTTCCCGGGGAGTGGCCGGGGCAATTGTCTGTCTCCTAACGCGCGGGACCGTCGGGAAGCTGCAGCATCATGATGGCCAACAAACCCCGGAGCAGCGAGGCGCTGAAGGTGGTGGCCCGCTGCCGCCCCATGAACAGGAAGGAGGAGGCAGCAGGGTATGAGAGGATCTTGGAGATGGACGTGAAACTGGGTCAAGTGACCATCCGCAACCCCAGGGCCTCGCCGGGGGAGCTGCCCAAAACGTTCACCTTCGACGCTGTCTACGACGCCAGCTCCAAACAGGCGGACCTGTACGACGAAACGGTCCGGCCGCTCATAGACTCTGTGCTGCAGGGGTTCAACGGGACCATCTTTGCCTACGGCCAGACAGGGACTGGTAAGACGTACACTATGCAAGGGGCCTGGGCCGAGCCGGAAAAGAGGGGCATCATTCCCATTTCCTTCGAGCACATCTTCACCCACATCTCCCGGTCACAGAACCAGCAGTACCTTGTGAGGGCCTCGTACTTGGAGATCTACCAGGAGGAGATCAGAGACCTCCTAGCGAAGGACCAGAGCAAGAAGCTGGAGTTGAAGGAGAACCCCGAAACGGGGGTTTACATCAAGGACCTCTCCTCCTTCGTGACGAAAAACGTCAAAGAGATCGAGCACGTCATGAACCTGGGGAGCCAGACCCGGTCAGTGGGCAGCACCAACATGAACGAGTACAGCTCCCGCTCCCACGCCATCTTCCTCATCACCATCGAGTGCAGTGAGACGGGGCTGGATGGTGAGGAGCACATCCGGGTGGGCAAGCTCAACCTGGTGGACCTTGCTGGCAGCGAGCGCCAGAGCAAAATGGGTGCCCACGGAGAGCGCCCCAAGGAAGCGTCCAAGATTAACCTCTCCCTCTCTGCCCTGGGCAATGTCATCTCAGCTCTAGTCGATGGCAAAAGCACACACATCCCCTACAGAGACTCCAAGCTGACCCGTCTGCTGCAGGACTCCCTGGGGGGCAACGCCAAGACAATCATGGTGGCCACCTTGGGCCCAGCCTCTCACAGCTACGATGAGAGCCTCTCTACCCTCAGGTTTGCCAACAGGGCCAAGAACATCAAGAACAAGCCCCGGGTGAATGAGGACCCCAAGGACACGTTGCTACGGGAGTTTCAGGAAGAGATTGTCCGGCTGAAAGCCCAGCTGGAGAAACGAGGCATGCTGGGGAAGAAGAGGCGAAGGAGCAGCCGGAGGAAGAAAGCAATGGATGGAGAAAGTGCCATGGAGAACGAAGGGGAGGATGACAATGAGGACGGCCTGGAGAAGAACATGGAGAATTACTTGAAGGAGCAAAAGGAGAGGCTGGAAGAGGAGAAGGCAGCTATTCAGGATGACCACAGCCTGGTGAGCGAGGAGAAGCAGAAGCTGCTGGAGGAAAAGGAGAAGATGATAGAGGACCTGCGGAAGGAGCAGGAGGCCACGGAGCTACTGGCCACCAAGTACAAGGTAGGTGTTGCCCCGCACCGGGTGCTTGTGAGTGATGTGGGGATGGGACCTGCGTTGCCTCCGGACCCGAGCGGGCTGCCTGAACCCGCGCTC